AGCTGTAATCAATATTTGTGGCATAATATAGTTTATAGAAATATATGACAAAACATTGAAACGATGTTATTTATTAACAATCTGAATGACAGTAATATTTTTTTCCTTTCCTTACCTGGCGATTCTAAACATTGCACAGAAGCATTTAAGAATACTTATTAGCATTGTTCCAGTCGCTAATATCACAAACATCCCTACACAAAGAACTACGATCGTATGCAACAATGTTAAATAAAAATGTTTCTCTTTATCAACGAAATATTCGGCAGTAATGTATGCTGAATGTGCTCGAGAATTATTTACGAAAAAAATAACTTTCAAGATATATGAACACCATGGCTGGAAAATAACAATAACTAGGCACCAAACACTGTGAATAATAAGAAGATATTTATTTAAACAGGGTTTTCATTCATTTTCCAACAAATGTGGAATTGAAACATTGAAATGTTAAATATGTTATATTCATTCGTTCTGTCATCACTATCTCGCACATCAAATGTCGGTTGCTTCCAGATAAACAGAAATGCTGAATATATTAGGTTGGTGCATATGAAATGTCGGATTCTTAAGTGATTGTATAAAACTGTATATCTTTCTTCAAAAGCTGTTTATTCAATCAAAGTATGCTCCATTCGCTTCAATACACTTCTCCCAACGAGATTTTAAAGCGTAGATGCCTGTCTTAAAAAAATTTTGGTCTTTAGAATTAATAAACTCTGATATCGAGTTTTTTAGACTGTCTTCATTTTCATGGTGTTTGCCTCTTAAAAACAGCTCTAAATGCTTGAAAAAATGAAAATCGGTCGGCGAGAGATCCGGTGAATATGGTGGATGCTGCAAAACTTCATATTCCAGTTCGTTCAGTTTCGCAATTGTTTTGTGCGATGTGTGCGGCCGAGCGTTGTCATGGAGCAGTAGCGGGCCATGCCGATTCACAAGCGATGGGAGTACAATTTGGTGTCTCAATATCGTTGTATGGTCAACTTTCATCCTGATAGCAAGTTCCCTCGTGGATACGGCTGGATCCGCTTCCACTAGAGCCTTCAGGTCATCATTATTCACAGACGTTTTGGGTCTTCCGCGCGGCTCATTTTGCAGTGAAAAATCGCCAGTCCGAAATTTTTCGAACCAACGCTGCACTTTCCGATTGTTAACCGTATTCTCCCCAAACGCTTGGTTTATGTTGCGTGCAGCTTTTGCAGCACTATTACCAAGTTTGTACTCATATAAGAAAATGACGCGAATGTCGGCAGAATTCATATCGGTAATAAACTCAAAAGAAATAAAAAAGGGAAGACCTTCGAGAAAACCTATTTTGTTGAAATGAGTCTCTGGCAATGGACAATACGAGTATGAATGAGGTTATGCCAAATACAAAAGTATAACGAAAACAGGGAGGAAAACGTCCGCATGTAAAGAGAATGCGACATTTCATACGCACCAACCTAATAGTAAGCAAACATTTAATGTATGCTTTGTAATATCATTGCAAAAAGACAACACGTTTAAAATATGTTTCTTTTAAGAAATATTCATTTAATACGATCATTTAATCATTTTAATCAAAGTATCTTATTATTACAATAATTCCGGATTAATTGCCTTTCTTATGGGAGAAATAAGAATATTTATGGTATCAAAATATCGCCGATAACAGAAACTAATATCAATGAATTAAACATTATGAATAATAAAAGACATTTGTTTAACCAAGTAATTTCATTTATCCGAAGCATGGAGATGTTACATTTAAATGTTAAATATTTTATATTTATTTGTCCTGTATAATTATGGCGTGTCGGTTATTTGCAAAGAAAATAAAATTTCAACTTTTTCTAAAAGTGTAGATTCTTTTGCTCGTGACAATTATAGAAAAAACTATCATAATTTGGAAGAAATACGTATATTTATATATATCTAAGTTATATATATGTAAAATAGCTGCTTGTTATATACGAATTCTATATATCTAAATAAATCAGCGTACTAATTGATTTTTTTAATTTTATTCTGTCGTAATGTAATTTTAGTCTGTTTTATTCATCCGTGAAAAAGTTAATTAATGTCTCACGTGTGAGTCCAGCCGTTGTACGTTTCGCTTTGCTCCCGTAACTTTCTACAATAACGATTTCATTTTCATTCTTCAATTCATTATAAATATATTGAATTTGTTCCAATATATATCTCACCTGTTATTTTAATAATATTTTACATTATTTCTTTTGTTAAACAAATTGTATATAACGAATATAACGAGTCTATTATATATAATATTATATATATATATATATTTTTTTTTAATATATATATATTTTTATTTAATTATATATAAAAATTTATTTAACGCTGATGTGTATATGATCAATCACATTTATAAAAATTGTATGTTAAAAAAGGGGATGATTGAACGATTGATTCAACATACATTTTTTATGTTAATCCAGAAAGCGTTGTATTTAATCAGAAATAAAAGTAAATATAAAGTTTCGGATAGGACCTCGATGACAAAATTTGCAGTACATTCTGTAGTTAAGAACGTTGCTAACTGCAATTGATATATGTATTAAAATAATGTAATTATTATTATTAAAATAAGATTATAATATCCTGTATAATTTCTTTCCGAATGGCAAATGTTTACCAATAATATTGAATGTGTTTTCAAATAAATTTATACAGTCATTTTTCCATGCATAACAATGTCACAAGTAGTAGTGCATATTTATTATTTAGTTCAACATTTCGGTACGAGTTAAAAATAGGAATATAATCATTATTAAATAATTATATAAATAATTACATGTATGGGCGGGTAACGGTAAACGATGGTTCGCAAAACTTATGCTGTATGGTAACATTTTATAATTGTTACAATAAAAAAATATCAACTATACCTGAACTCCTATGATACTTATCAAAATACTGTAACACAATATTATTTGAAGTTGAACGACTTTCGATTGCTGATAAGGCCACATTCCAATCGACAGTAAAAGTATCCGATTTATGTTGAAATATTTGGTCTCAAGGGAGATCATTTCTCTTTGAATGTTGGAGCGCATTTGAAAGCGTGTTTGCCGCCGACGATCAATCCATCCCCTCTTTCTGTTCAAACCACTATGTGCTTTATGTTCTTCTCTTTTTCCAACAAATATTCCACTATAAATTGCCTAATTTAGCTAAATGGTACGCAAAGTGCTGCGAAATATTACTATGAGATCGGAACACCCGCTTCTATACATGTTTACTAGGGTAGAGACGGACGATTAAGCTATCGTTTCTTCGGAGAGAGAACTTTAGTTATGTGTTTATTTCTTATAAAAAAAAAATATCGCACGAAAGTCCCCTTGATCAAAAGACATGAAGGTGTAAGTGTAAATCTATAGCCTTGCATTCTTATATATTTCATTGTAACAAGATTATTTTTTAATTACGTCAGACTTTTCATAGAGGCGTTAGTTTTTAGTCCTATAGCAACTACTATTTACAAAATGTGTTTTCGGCCGCAGTAGTCAATCGCGGTTGCTAAAGGAGAATTTCCCCAATTTTTAACTCCTTGGCGACAGCAATTGACGATCGAAACATCTCATTACAACCCAAAATAGCATTCCCATCGTGTACGATGGAAAGATAAAAATGGCGATGTCGAGTAATGCGGAATAGTCCATATTATCCACTACTTTTTATGAGTATATAGCATATTATTCTTCATTGTTTTTTCCTTTCAGGATGCCAAAGAAACTTGTAGGTGACGTTATTAAAAAATGTAAATAGTGAAATGCAACTAATATGGTGTGACATATATTTATATGGCGTGATAGCATTATTATAACAGAAACTACAAAAATATAAATATATAATAGATGATGATATAATAAATATATAATATAATAATTATTACCAACTATTTGATCATTAATATGCATCTAAATACGAGAAAAAATTTTTTTAGCAAGATTAATTCTGTATCACTTAACCTATTCCATATTACTCTTTCAAAATTTACCTTCGGAAACATTGATATAATATTAAATTCACTATAGATAAACGAAATTTGTTAGAGAAACACGTTGTAACAAACATTTAGCATTACAACTTGGTGAAAACTAAGTTCGATTAATAGTTTTTAAGTTATCTCAAGAAAAGCCTAAGATATTTCATATTATTCGCACTTCCTCTTTTGTGACTTGAACATCAATCGGATACTTTTGCTCACAATTGGAATGTGGCCTTATGAGCAATCTAAAGTCGCGCAAATTCAGATAATATTGTGTTATGGAGTTTTGATGAGCATCATAGGAATTCAAGTATGTGTTAGTAATATTTTTAATTGGAATCATTATATATAAAAGTTACTATAGCACTATTTTTGTGGTCATTGTTTATCTTTACCTCTGTTTACCCGTAAACAGGTAATAAGTTCAACAAGGCTAATTGGTCAATACGATTGGTTAATCGTCGATTAGATTTAAACCATGATGGTGGAACCAGGCATCTTTAACATATTATAATATTCTCTATTATTATCCGTCTTGACATTTCTGAGCGCGCGAAATTTCATTATTTATAACCTTTGATCATTTTTCATTTGAAAACTATTACAGCCTCGACGACATTTTCGTATTAAAACTTTCGTCTTAAAATATTATAAAAAATTTATTAAAATATTTATTGTATGAGATTTTGAGATTTATATAAAATTAATATATAATATTAAAATTAACTCGTAATAAAATATAATCAAATCAACAAAGCGACATTAAGTAAACAATTTGGCAATTGCCTAATTGAAGTTCATTATGAAAATAAATTTCTCTGAAATAAATTTCTCAACTTCTCCATATATTTCTCACGAGCGTGACAGTTTTGACAGCTGCCGCTCAAACCGACAGAAATGGAGCCCAGTAAAATGACGTGTAATTTATTTCGCTGCTAATTACATCAGTCGAATTCGTTAACATGAGAGTATCTAAGAACCATGAAAGAAAAATACTAAACGTGTTTTATCAATTTTATGTTATCGAATAGACTATATTATCGAGGAGTCGTATAAAGATATAGTTGTTCACTGTCGATAGCTCGAAGAAAACGCGATTTCGCCAGTATATGTGAATTACATTCTTACATTCACAGATAATATAGCCTTAGCATTCCAAAGGTCATGGGTGATATATCACCCCGGGAGGGTGTGTGCGAAGGTGATGATTCAATTAAATATTTATAGTACTCGTGCCAGTTTTCACAGTTTAATTTACGTCAATAAATCCAACGTTAACGTCGAAGTAACTTACCTCGGCCCGTTTTCATTCCTTTTCCTCGAGCAAACTGGAAGAAGGATCAACCTTAACATTCGCTACATGCTAAATTTTTCAAATTTATTTTTTCTCTCTCTCTCTCTCTCTCTCTCTCTTTCACGCTATACCCAAAATGATCTCGCGCAATATGTGTATTTGTTTTCTTGTTACTATACATAAAGAAAATGTGTCGAAAATATCGATTATCGCACATATGCCGTGCAAGTCGGCTAGTCATAAGAACGCGTCTCGCATGTATGACGCCGAAATAACGAACATGTTAGAAAAATGAGGCGCGTCCAAAAATCAAGTATAATCAAGTAGTCGAAAGCTCTGAAGGATTTTTCTAAACATTTGTATTGCAACATGCCGTTATACACATCTTAAATTACTTTTCCGAATAGTTATCGTGCAAACCAAGGCACTCGTCGTATCGCAGAATCGTCTTTTGGATATCTTCTTCGAAAGAAAAAAAAAAAACATAAGAGGACAAAGAAAAAAAATTGCTTAACTTCAGCCCCTCTCAGTTTTGCATAATGTCTTTTGTGCTTTCGTCAATACTCAAACGCGAATCGCTCGAAAATTGCTCGAGGTGAGAAAAACGGACGGAAATCGCTCGATGCGAATTCAATCTTACAGATCCCCATCGAACTTATTGATAATCACATCATCGAAATTATATTTCGCAATTAGCATGATTTTTTTTTGCTTTTACACTCTTCGGCTGCAATCCGAAGCAAATCGGGGTAAAATATTCTCGTATTAAAAAAATTACGATCACGCTCTCTTTAATGTGAAGAGATGATCGACCTTGGCAGGAAACGTAGATGTCGACCTCAACACGATCGGTCCTTACTTCTTGGACGCGTCTCTCATCGAGAAACATCCAAGGGAAGCCTGCACGGAGGAAAAGTTTTCGCCGGCACAGCAAACTATTTGTTACTATAGTGACAACAAAAAGATTTGTCAGGCGGAAAAAATAATTTTGCTGTTGTAGCAAAACGTCGTTGCGACAACGGTAAAATTTGTTTGATATAGTTAGCAATTAATACTCTTAACAAATCTTTTGCTGTAAATAAATTTTTTTTCTCTCATTATATAACAGCAAATAATTTGCTGCGCTGGCAAAAAATTCCTCTCCGCGACGAACTGTGTCGCGCGTGTTCCAAGAGCTGGGCCAGGGGGTAACACACAGAGGGATGGTTTTCGTTTCAAGGATATTATTGTATCATGATTCTCAGTACGATACATCCGGTTTTATATAAAGTGTACAATTTTGTATCTCTACCGGGGCCATCGCGTGCATTCACATAGAGAAACGGAACCCACATGATGGCTTAATGCGCGTTTCGCGCAATTAATTGACATCGCACTGACATCGAAACATGTAAATTAGTCCGTTTATATGTTTACATTCGCGCTGGCGTACGCACGTGTGCGCGCGCGCGCGCGCGTGATTTACACGATGACACTTGACAAAATCGTCGCGCTGCGAGTGAACTTAGAAAAACTAAACACAACCGTCAATAGTTTAGAAACTAACGGGTCCGTCGGCTGCGGGTTACAACGCCACGACGGACGAAATCTTCGAAGACACGGCGGGGATGCAGAAGGTGGGCAGAGGATGGGATGTGTGCGAGCGTTACTCTTGCTTGGTTTCTACGCCTTCTTCTTGGTGTTCCTCGTGGTCTTAACGGGAGTGGCCTTCTTCTTCTTCGTCGTCGGCTTCTCAGCCTTCTTGGCGTACTTGTCGATCAGAGAGTCGAAGAAACTGTCCGATTGACTGGCGCGAGCTTTGTTGCGGTTCTGGATCACCAATGCGAGATCATTCGCAGCTGCGTTCTCTTCGTTCTCGATCTTCAGCATCTGCTCCAGACGCTCGGCTTCCGCCGCCTCCCTCGCCCACTGAAATCAGAGAAGCCGATCGAGAGATGCAATTAGCGTGAAGAGGCCCGATGGCTGTTTACTGTCCAACTCGCGCCGCACACGAGCGACTCGGCTTAGCGCGGCTCCGCACCACTCCGGCATATAATTTGATCCAGACTCGCCGCGGAGAAACGGATCTCACGGCCTGATAATAGCACCGTACACGACGTACAAGTGCGTGCCTGTTGACGGGATTGATTGCAACCCGCTCGTAACGAGAGCGAAAACGCGATCTGCGTCATTATCCTATTTCCGAAACACGCGCCACGCGCCGATTCTCTCTCGAGTTTATCAGCGAGTCCATCGCGCGCACGCGACCCGCATACGCACGGCTGAGCGATGGACGAGGAACGAGCTTCCCCCTCTCTCTCTTTTTCCTTCTTAAATGTGTTGGAGCAGGTTAATTTTAAAGGAGGGGGTCATCGATTCTATCGGGTGAGCAACCGGATATGCATTGCTTACGAGCGCGGCTTAGATGGATAAACGGAGGCACGATGCCAACGTTGCGCCGGTACAACGATCGCCAGGTCGAAGCGACGAGACTTTGATTTAGATTGGCAGCCAGTTAGAGAATATATTCATACTTCAAGCCGTCTGCGCTCGCGAGAGCCGGTAAACTTGTAAACGGAAAAACGATTCGAGCAGGAACGGTTCAGGGAGGAATCAATCGAAACGCCGCTTTTGACGGCAATAACATCGCGCAGGCACAAATAATGTTGACGTTAAAAAATGACAATAGAAATATCGTACAACGTCGAGATATTGAGGAGTGCTATTTACCATTGAGTGACTGCAAGTAAGGAGAATATATAGTGAGAAAAATCGTTCGTCCAAATATTACAATTTTCTTGAGTTACCGACTTTTGACTGAAATTTCAATGTCAAATTCATACACAACTCGTGTTATCATTTTCACGATGTTTTCATATATTAAATTTATATCAGTTTAGTAATTAGATATTTCTATGTATGTCGTTTAAAAATGAAGCATTATTTTGAATTTATTTTAACTTAATTATTTTAGGAAATCAACGTTTTTTAAAGTTATTTTTTAACATTAACATAGATTCAAATAAATCATCAAATAAGGTCATAAACTTTGACATATGAAAGTCAAATTGATGAAAACCAAATGTTTCTTTTATGAATAATTTAATTAATTTCATTCATGTATTAATATAACCTGAGAAAAGCAACGCTAAGCAGCGCAGTCGACAGGCACAGAACTAGCAATAGGTAGTACGAAAAACGCAAGATTGAGGCTACGTTGAAACAATCTATAGTATAAAAAAATGTTTTTCATGAATTAAAATGTTAATATGTAACATTTATCTTATTCACATCATACGGACAAATATGTTCCGACAACATTTTCTATAAGTTACTTTAACTACTCCTTCATATTTTTTAACTATTTTGTGTCAAATAATTAACATTTTCAATGTGTTAAGAAGTAACACGATGAATATGTTATTTTAACACAAAATTAAAAATGGACTTTCTGGAACATACGAAAAATGTTAAAATTGACAATTGATCTTTTTACTTTGCAACTTCGACGTTCAAATTCAGATATCTCATATTGTTGAATTTTCTTAAGTAACCGTGCATCTTGTATTCAAAATTCTTCCAAAATATTTGCGTATATATAGAAAAATATTATATGTATATTTTTATAGTATGTATAATATTATGTTCAAACAATTTTACATCTCTGGGAAATTACTGCTGAAGAAAACTGTTGAAAAAATTGTATGTTGTTAATTTTCAGACACTTCCGCGGAGACTCGGCCTCGCTTGCTCACGGCCGCGCGCTACAAGCTCTCTCTCGTTTTCGGCGATGCTACACTGCCGGCTGCATAAGCGTCGATGACGCTTCATCGACTTCATCATCTCGCGTGACCTACTCCATAATCCGCAGCTGAAGAAATTCCGTTATTTATAATTTTTGGCAAGTACGTCTAACTGGCTGCCTCCTAATGCCGGCGCATTGCGCAACGCGTAACTCCGCGACCGCGACGGATTAGTCAGCGGTTATAAACGAAAGGTGCGCTTTACATCGTCGCCGAACTATCGTCGGTATGGTATTTGCAAACATCTCGCTGTAACGTTGACAATAAATAACAATATACGCTGGCGATACCAGCGAAAAGCAACAACTCTATTTAAATGTTTCTCTCTTGTACGATGATGCTTCCTTTTCCTATTTTCCTCGATTTCGGTGTCTCGTTCTCTCTATCTCTCCAAGTTACGCCAACTTCCTAGATTGCATAGGAGAACTGTCACGAGAGCGAACGCGAATGAGGAGAGCATTGTCGCGCGAAAAGAATGCCCGGTAGCGACCTGTCCTCCAGGTCGCGCCAAGTGTCACGAGGATGTCAACGTATACATACATCCGACTAACTCGAAGACGTAAGCATTTTCCGCGACCTTCCAACGTGTAATTGGTATCTACATCGATCGGAATACTCGGCGTCGTGCCTTGGGCTTAAGAAAATCAAGTAGCTTAATAATTGAGAGCAGTAAATCGAACAACAGCAAAACGCGCGCCTTGAAGCCGCGTGTTTAACCGCGGTCATACGTGCTGTATCATCATCTTGGAATCCCGTTTAACGAAGAATTGACTCGGCGGGGTTGAGACCTTGTTCGGTCGGCACGTTATGCTGCGAGGAAGCAGACACGTGCGAGATGAATATCCGACTCTCTTTTCATGCTGTAATAACAGATGGACGAGTTTTCAATCGCTCGGCAAGGTTGCGACGTGGTGATTTCTGCTACGCGAGAGCGGCACCACCAGAGATGCGCCCGAGAGATATACCGAGGCTCGGTCAGATGCGCTACGAAGGATCACATCGAGAAAACATCGGCAGAGATGATTCTTGAAAGCATGCAAGATCAACTGTTGTCGCGCAATACAATTAACGACGGGCTCGAGACGCATCGGAATCATTTCCAGTGCATCAATCAAAGGCCAGAATCTTCCCGAATATCATTCAAAGCCGGAAAGTGCTTGAGCGCCTTGGAGGTCCCGAGTGTCTTGAAAGTTTCAAAAGTTTCGTGAGTCTCGAAAGCTTCGAAAGTCGTGAAAACCTTGAAAGATTCGAGATTCTTAAAACTTTCAAGGCTTTCGAGACTTTTTAAACTTCCGAAGCTTTCGAGATTTTTAAGATATTTTTCCCAAATATTTTTAAGAATTTTCGACTTCAAATAATCTCCGATTCGAATCTTTGTTTACTGAGAAACACATTTAGTTGATTCGAACAAAATGCTTTTTTGAATATGGGCAAATATTTCGGTTGTAAGAACCAAAGTTTGGTTCTCTGAAACGAAAATGGCAAAGGTTTTCGTGAACCTAACTTTTGGTTCAAAGAATCAAATTTTGCTTTTCACAACTAAACAAACATTTTATTTGAGTCAACTAAATGTGTTTCCCAGTCGTTCCGTCACTCGGAAACTTTCAAGACGATGAGATTCTAATATCTATATAATACTACTGCATAATTTCGCACATACATTCGATGTAATCCTCATATATACCCACGTGCGATTCGCTGTACATAATTAATCCCCTATTAATACAAATTTAGATTATCAGGGGCTTTCAATATCGAAGAAAATCCGAAGCGATCGAAACTTTCGTACGAGCGAATTGTTTGGAAAATCTCAGGGCGGCGCTTTGTAAAGCCATCGCTAGCTCTTTCTTCTCTCCATCTGGCGCAAGCGGTCAGAAATCTCGCGTGGATGCACCTGTTACACTGAAGAATGAAGTAGGAAGCTGTCGCGCGAACTTGACTTCGAAATAGCGACGGCTTTCAGTGTATATTTAATGTGTTTGCACGGAACGGTGTCGGGTCGGATCGCGCAAGGTCGTTACGTAACACCAGCGCGTTCGCGCGTGCGATTGAACGATGACACTGGTAATTATTTCGTTACGCGCAGTGACGATCCGGTCGGTCAGTTAATTGCGATTAAAATCCCGTTTCTCGATATGACGCCGCTGACGTTGGCGGTTTCTCACTCGGCGCAATATCGCGTTATGTTGTATGTATGTGCACATAGCCGCGTCTCGGATCAATTCCAAGTAACGAAGTCGCGTTCGATCGAAATATTACATCAAAGATCGTCTAAATTTAGCGATCGAAGCAAACTTCAGAGCGATTTCCTTCGACTTTCTCGGCGATACACTCGCGCGGCGGCGCAGACTCATAACTGGCGAATGTGCGGCCACTAATCAATCGTCAAACACAGCGACGGAATTAGAGCCCACGTATTTCTTGTTTTTTTTTTCTGTTCTTTGCGCGAGATTCTCGGTGAAATCGGAAAAATTATTTTCGCACGCTTAGGCGAAATTACTTGCGATCGAAAAATAAGTTAAATAAGAATCATAATAAGTGGAACAAACATGGACCTCTTAAATCGGATCTATATTATAGTAATAAGATTTTATATTTAAGGGGATCCTGGATTTGAATGCATATATTAATGTAGACGAGGACGGTTAACTTCATTTGAAAACCAAAGAAATTATATAATTTTTCAACTTAACTTTTAACTTTTTTTTTGTTTTTCAAACAAAGTCAACTGTCTTCCTCGTCTATATTAATGTGTGTGTTGCAATTGTGCAAAAGGATTTTTAATTCGGTGCAGCCAGTAATGAGTATAATATTAAGAAATTTGCGATAAAACAGGACGACTCCAGGATTTCCTTAAGATCGTCTTACATTTATCTTCAGAAGTTTCGTAGCCAAAGCAAAAATGAAATAAGCCACATAACGTCTGAAGATGAATAACCTAAGATGCTACCTAAAACGATCTTAAACATAATACTAGGGGAGAGAAAATTTTAGAAAAAAAAACATTCTCCGAGGTCTAATAAAAACGCAGAGAATCTCCCGATCTCTCCAGAGATACAAATAAGAGGGAATAAGTTCCCTGAAAACATTTTCGGAATGTGCCCCTGGCTTGACATCGGCAGGGAAAAGTAAACAGCGAGTCTTGGCGAGTCTCCGAGGTGCTTTTATACCTACGCATTGGACTCGGCTGGGCCTGCCGTTCCCGAAAAGCAACTGGATGAAGTGCCACTCCAGCGCATCGACTGCGGTCGCTAACAGTCACGTGTGGTTAATCGTAATAATCCTACGAAGCGTCGTTAAGAAGGTACCTGTATTGCTACGGGAGAGAGAATCATAAGATTAAATATTAAATGCGCGCTCAGGTGCAAGGATGCACAGAACACAACGCAACGCGAAACGTATCGTCGCCGTGATCGGATCGGCCAGACGAACCCGATCTTTCCTCTCTCGCGCGGCCTACAGGTTGTTCCAATCGCACTCGCCGACCCGAGGCTAAAACCTCGCGACGATGACGTGTCCGAGGATGACGACGACGATGGACATTACTAGCACGGAGGCCGGCCGAGCCCGCGGCGCGGAATCCTTCGGCGAGTCGGTGCTCGTCTCCGTGGTCATCCCCTCGTCGTGTTCCTCCCGGTGCTTCAGCAACGGCGTGTGCACGGTAACCGGCGACTCGTAGTACGGCGCGTGGTAAGAATCGTCCGCCGAGACCGAATGCATCAGCTCCGGCTGCGGATGCAGCGGTCTCACGGCGTGCATGTAGTCCTCCCGATCGACCGAGATCGGCGTGGTGGTCCCCAAGCGTTCCGCCTCGGCCGGCAGATCCGTGGCGGTTTCATCGCCGGTGCTCGATGAAGACCATCGATCGTCGACCGACGTCTCGTCGTCAGATGTATAACCGTCTCCGGTCGGCTTGCGCGACACAGGCGTTTCTTGCCGACCCATCGGAGCGTCCGTCGGCCACGAGTTGTCGTCGGTCGACCAGGTCCGGGAGGTGGCGAACGCGCCGGGGTCGCCAGTCGACCATGACCGTGTCATCTCGATGGAGCCGTGAGACGTTTCTTCCAGACCGTCGGGCGTCGCGGTGTACAACGGGTAGGTGACAATTTCCTCCGCGATGCGCGACTGTCCGTCGAACCACGTCGTCATCTCGTTTTCCGAAGATGGCAGTCGCGATCTTTCCGATGTCGCGTACGGATGCGCCGGCTCGTACGGCGGGTTCGTCAAGATGAGCTCCGTCGGCCTGTCTGGCCTCGTCGTTGACTCGGTGGTCGACTCCACCAGCGGTACCGGCGATCCTTCCGGCGTCGCGTACTGAGTAGACGGCTGGGACGTCATTTCATACGTCGGGACATGCGTGTGCTCCGCCGACGAAAAGCCGTCGGCGCCCGCCAAGAACCTCATGTTCTCCGAGGTTGGTCCCGACATCCCTGACGACGCTCGCGGCCTCTCGTACGTCGTGTGAGACAATGACGGATAGAGCGAGACTTCTTCCGTCAGCGGCAGTTCGTCCACTCCCACGGTCATCCTGGCGTCCTCCAGAGGCGGCCTCGACTCTTGCGGCGGCGTTCGCGGCGTCTCCGGGTGCGGGTAAAATATCATCGGACGCGAGGAGAGCGGTCGGTCCGGCGGTACCTCGTAGGATGTCCTCGGCGGCGGTATCGGCTCCACTCGCGGTATGTGCGACTGCAGCATGATCGGTCGCATGGTGGTGGTGGTGCTGGTGGTGGTCGGCCTCCTATGGCGGCCGTAGTGCTCGGCAGAATGGAACGACCGATCTCCCGTCATCGGGGGCACGACGGGTCTCTCCTGATACGCGGGCACGCTGGCTTCATCCTCTTCCCGCGCGTGAGCAGGCGGCACGTGAACCTCGACCGCGTCGTGCTCGAGTTTCCTCCATTCGGGATCGCGGTCGAAGGTGACGCGCTGATTCTCCAAGAACTCGCTGACGGCGTGCGGACAGGCGAACTCGGGGTTCTCGCTGAGGAACATCCGCTTCAGCTGCCGCAGACGCGACATCCCGTCGAGGTTCAGGCATCGCAACCGGTTCCCGGAGATCCGCAAGTCCACGAGGGCCGGTAAGTTCCGGTAAACGCCATCCTCGATCTCGCGTATGTGGTTGTAGTTGACGTCCAGGTAAGTCAAGTAGTCCAGACCCTCGAACCAGGAGGCCCTCACGGCGGTCAGATAATTGTTGTCCAGGCTGAGCTGTTGAAGACTGACCAGTCGGCGGAACGCGTCCGCCTCGATCTCGCTGATCTCGCAGTGCGAGCAACTCAGCACCCAGAGATCGTCGCCGAACTTGGCGAACGTGTCGGCGGTTATTCGGCGCAACGGCATCCTGTTGATCCGCAGCTTCTCCGTGCCCTCGGGCACGGTAGCGAGGTCGCCGGGCTCACCGTCCTTGCAGAGGTACTCCAGCATGTCGTCGTTCGGCACCTCCCGGCACGAAGCCGCGACGTCGCCGACCAACAGGGCGATCAACGCCAAAACAACCACCATCTCGCTCGGCTCGACCACCGCCGGGAGGTCGCGGGGACGGTGAGACTAACTTCAATTAATCAACTGTCGCGGAGAGGAGGAGACCGTCTCTCGTCCCACTGTTCATTTCGATTTCGCCCGGATGAAACGAAATGCGACGGCGGTCATCGCAGGACCTTCACACACACACACATTCTCTCTCTCTCTCTCTCTGTCGGTCGCTCGGATATTACGATTAACGACAAAAGACTCGGGCTAATTGCAACACGGACTGAGGCGGCTCCTGCAATCGCAGGTTACTTATTTACTAGACCTTCCCCTCCTAACGGTGCCACCACTTCTCCTACTACCTTCCGTCCACCCGCCCGTCCGTATGGCTGTCCGTCCGTTCGTCAAGCTGTATAGTCTATTGGTAAAAATAGAGAAGCTTGAAAATAGCGCGGCGGAGTGTTAAAAGATCGAAGCGACCGTTTAGCGTATGGAGGGCGCGATTTAAAATTCGCGCTCGATCATAGCACGGTAGATCGATACGCGGGTGGAGTGTAAATGCGGGAGAGAAAATTGCGCAGCAGCAAAATGACGTTTCGCAAGTATAATGCTTTATCCTTCTACGTCACGACGTCGGTCGCGCACCGTATTTACACTTGCCCGCGAACGCTTCTCTACTACAGCTCGATTAATTGCTTTGCAGGAAGGTGCACAACCGAGCCCGATATATTCGTGGTGTTGTGTTGCATAATGTAAATTATAAGAGATATAATTCAATGATGACGATAATAACGGAGGGAAACGTAGTTGACAGCGATTTCGCTCAATCATCATTCTGTCAGAGAATATACGACGCTCAGAGAATTTTTAAAATATTGTTGATCAAAGGAGGAGCAAGAAATTATGCGAATTTGAAAAGAAATTCGTTGTTAGAACAGATTATTACGGAGAAAGAGAAAAGCAAAACAAGAGAAACAAGAGTACAGGAAATAGAAATATACGAAGCAAAAGAAACAAATATATGTGTAATTGGCAGTGAAATATTAAATTATCCGATGAATTATCTTTAATAGATAAGATTTTGTAAAATAAAAGGCTTTGTAAGGTAAAATTGCGAAATGGAAGCAGAACATTATAATTTCAAAGACTTACAAAGTATTAAATAAAGATTTCAACATAGTATAATTTCTTTGTCAACAATGCATAGCTCATTAACCTCATTTAAGTATTGTATATAGTAGTATCATATACGTCAGTCCATAAGTATCATATATGTTATGTATCGCACAGATTGAAATTATATGTGTGACGTTTCTATTATTATCTATTCCCATATATTTCTATTATTATATATTCCCATATGAGACATAATTCTTTCACTTGTCAACTTAATTTCCTATTATAAAATTAACTCATATTTTATCATTCTTTCTCTTTTAGATATCATATGAATATATGTTCATCAAAATTTAATCATTTATCTCTTTATTTTCATCAATAGCGGAACAATTTTTCTGTTATAAACTATATATTTCCTTTGATATTTTAGCATTACTTATCTTTTGCCAATTTTTGTAATATTTCAAGTTTTAATATTTTATAAAACTAAAATAACTATAGTAACCCATATAACACAGAAGTTTACAATAACATTGCTACAATGTTGCAACAATGTCAATGTTAGCTTTTGCGCTATGTGGGAGATATCTAACCTTTCTTTTCCTGCGCTGCTTCTTCTTGGCATTCTCATTGGTGAAAGTTTTGTATTCTGGCACCTCACCACTCTTTATGAGATTCTGGATTATATCATGCAATCTTGGCTCCTCTTCGCAATTAGTAAATGGGACTGCTTCTAGAATGTAATCCATATCTCCTTTACCTAAAACAAATATTAACTCATCATGACATAATTTGTTCAAAATTTTTATCTGAGACATAATACAAAGTACAAAAGAAGTGAGAAAGCACTTACTGTCCATATATGCCCTTTTGAGGTCCTTGATCTCAGTTTCAGATCCCTTGTAATTTTTCTCATAATTATTGATATCTTCCACAGTAATTTCTTTGAATAAGGATCTCCAGTAGTCTGCCCAGTTGCGCATCACAACTTCTTCGCTCTCTTCATCATACTGGCCAGACTCATCATAAATCTTGCGCTTGTCACTGTCACTGAGAATGGAGTGTATTCTACCAAGGACTTTAAATTTCTCCGTTGCTTCAGTCTTGATGTTCTCTTCGACTCGATCCGGATGTACGAGTAATGATAACTTATGATATGCCTTCTTTACTGTTGACAGAAGTAAGCACAATTAATATAAATGAAAATAAACATACAATTTTTACTTTACACCGAATTCTTCAAAACTCGTACGTTTCGTATATTTTGAGTAAAAAAAATTGTATTAAAATAAATAATGTCTCCAGCTTGTTCTTTTTCTGCATTTTTTTCGTAATTGTATTTAAATATAACAATTTTATAGAAAAATGAACTATATACTACAAATTTACTCCAAACAAATTATAAATGCAATGGCTGTAGAGGTTAAGTCATGCATCTGACGCCAACATTCACTAACCTTGTTTGTCGTTCGCGGTCTTCGGAATCTTCAAGACATCGTAGAAATTACGTGCACCGAAATATTGTTCGCAAAGATCTAGTAAGCTTGCCATATTGGCGGATCTTCGAATTAATCACTAGTAATTTAACAGATCTAATATGTAAACTAAGTCCGACAACGAAGTGACGGACTTTTCACGATGCATTCTAACGCGCTATTTTCAAGCGATTTAAATTATTGGTCGAAGGCGACATCTACGTGCGATGTCATAAGTAGCCCGCAATATGTAACTGTTTGTAATTGTGTTATGTGGCGTTCTGTATATTATATATGTGAAATAGAAGTGCAAAAGTGTTTTCTTAGTGGCATGTATTAAACAGATCCAGAGAAAAATGTAAATTATTACAAGAAAGTGAAGTTAAGCAGAAAGAAAGAACAGGAAAATAATGAATGCCAACAACATAAAGTATTCTCAAGCATTTAACAATCAACCAAATATAAACTTCGGTATTCGGGTTAGAACTTTTCTTCTTTTATATGTAAATTTATTTTTATAATTCTACTTTATATATATATATATATATATATATATATATATATGTGTGTATTTATTTATATGTTTAGATAACGTTAAATAAGTAAGTTATGATTTTTATTTGTATATTTTAAACATGTTAACCTTGTAAAGCACAGCACAATAGCAAAATTTATATTAGTCATGGATAAGGATTTATTAAAAAATAAAAAAAATATACCAACACTATACAGTATTCCCAAGTGGTCACTCATCCAAATGCTGATTGTGCTAAATGTTGTTTAGCTTTGGTGATTGGATGAAAACCAGTGTGTTCAATATGTATGACCATTGATACTTGCCACTTCTTTAGTCTTATTTAATTAGTTAAATGGTTTCTTGAAAAGTATGAGAAGAAAGTACAATAGCATAATTTTTATTTACTTTAAGATTAAATTGTTAGAGAACTATATTACACTATAAAACAACACACACATACACATGGTATATATATGTACGTTCAAAAAACTATATATTTCAATTTCATATTTGTATTAAAAAAAACTTACACACTCGAATTTAGTGATCCCCAACACAATAATTGGACTTATATTTAACTGGACTTACATTTAGCTTAGAATTTAAGAATAAGGGAGCTAAACGATTATCGAATTACAACATACCGAGTAGTTTATAGCTTTTTTCCTATTATGAACATACATAATTGCATATCTGAAGAAGTATCAGTGGTACATTTTCAATATGGGTTCAATCGTTATAATTTATCCACTAATCGTTGTGATTGTGACGTTGCTTCTCAAGTATTTACAAAAATTTGTCGAGTCTTAGAGAAGATTAGCTTATTTCAAAGCACGAGTAACAGTTTCATAGACTTGAGATTGTATATAAAAATATATATAACACATTATATATATATATATATATATATATATATATATGTTTCGCGTAACGTAATATATATATATGTTCCACGTAACAATTGAATCAAGTTACTGTTAACCAAAACAACGTGTCAATTGGTTAATAGCAACTTGATTCAACTATTACGCGAAACACTTATTTAACACGTTCGCTACCAGGGTCTGAGAAGAAAATCTTGCACCACAGCCAAGAATATTTTTTGTTAGAATATGTCCCCAATTGACATGGGTCTTTTTAAGATATATTTATAACATAAAAATGTAATTATCTGTAGACCAAGGACATCCTACATCTATTTTATTGTTTTTTAGTTCAACAATACTGTTCATTTCCAAATTTATTGCAATACGTTATCATAAACTGATAAAAAACACGTGCCACACATTTGCGGCGGTGGTAGCGAACGTGTTAAGAATCAGCGTTAATTCAATCTGCTATATAATATACCAAACTTTCAATTAATTCTCCAACTATTAGAAATATATTTAATATGTATCGTTGAACATGCTTACAGATGTATAAAATCATAATCATACAGACGTATCCAACAGTTGGAGAATTAAGCTAAAATTATACAAATATAGAATATGTACCACTTCATCTTTTTTGTTTTTAATTGGCGTGCGTTTAACGTGAAAATAAATTTCTCAGTTTCGAATAATTCTCGATAAAAGCATACGACAGTGTGCGTTTTTGATAGCTTACATTTGTTTCATTTTTTGCAACATTATTTTGTTTGGCTGAATCTCTCTCTCTCTCTCTCTCTCTCTCTCTCTCTCTCTCTCTCTCTCTATCTCTCTCTCTCTTTCTCTCTCCCTTCTTAAGGTTTAAATAAATATTACAAAAAATGTGGAGGAGATTGATAGTCCCAGTTATGTTTCGCTTCTTTTCTCCTCAATTTGCTATCTCTCTTATTTTTATTCAATAAATCTACGTTTGATCATAATTACACGCCCGTTCCTTAGTTAACGACTTATCGTATCGTGTGACGTGTGACGTTACAATATAATTATATATATATTGCAAATATATATATACATTCATCCGCGTCATAAATATAAATTATTGTACATTAGATATTTATATACTTACACGTATCTGGTAATATTATATTGATATTTTGAGCAGTTCATCTATTTAACGAAATGTGGCAAAAGAAACGTGATTGTATTTTCCTCGAACACCATTTGAACAAAACCAACTTTATTAACTTAAAATTCCGCATCGCACGTCCCCAGTAGCGTGCACCTTAACTTGCAACAGGGCGTAAGTGAGTTTGCTGAATCGGCGGGAGAATCGTAAAGACCGGTTCGTCTTCTTTGGCAGATTTATTCTCCGCACTGTTTTCCGCAAAACTCCAAATTGCGCTTGCGATGAGAATTGGTATTGGCACCCTATTACTTCCCTATCTATTTCTATGATTTTATTTAAAAGGAATTACATACGATTTCTGCATTTCTCGTTTTTTTTTTGTATATAAAAAAAAATACGAATCCACTCGGTTTGATTGGTCACAATAAAGACGCACGATCAAGGATACATTGCAACAACAATTTAATCTTTTATTCTTTTTTCAGTTTCCGATTCTTTCTTTCCTGTTCGCGTAACGCGTTACATATAATAATCGTCTAACGGATTAAAATTTATTAAAGTTCTCTTTTTAACGCAGTCTGACGTGACGTAACGTGATAATTGTCATCGGGTAGTTGAATGCGATCTCCAAGCGTGTTCGTGTATTATTTTCATTTTACGAACGACTACAACGATGTATAATTCGTACCGTCGTTGCGACACGTGACTGCACGCAGCGAGAAAGATTTTCAATGCAAAGGATTATCAACAAGCTAATACGTTATCTCTACCGCTATAGATTACTTTATTTACATCCATTATGTTCGGCTAATTGTTTGTATGATCAGGTAAATACATGCTCCTTCTCTCACACGCGGGCCGAATCATGCCTAGGCACTTAAGAGGAGTAATCGTGCACTTTTTGTCGCGCCTTTTCCGGACAATCGTTCGAGTCCTCCAAGAAAAGGCGGGAATATCGTTTACAAATGTTCACGAATTACGAGGCGTGGATTACTATTTCTATTTTCTTTTTGTGTTTTTCTTCTTTTTCTCTCGTTTTCTTTCGCATGAGGTATGAACTCACGGGCGGCAATGCAACGGTAACGCATGTGTCGATCGATCGCGTCACATCATTAATGTTACACCAGCAGGATTTTATAACCATCATATACCAGAGAGTTTCCTCACTTAACCGCGACTTATAAAAACCCTTAAATACGAAGAACTATTCATACCGACACGATATTTCGGTTAGTGGCAGGAAGCTCGCTTTGAACGATCTGTGATTCGCGGCAGATTCATCCCGCGCAAAGTGTGACTTTGTAACCTACGTGCGAACGAACCCTCTCGGGGACCGAGCGGAACCGTATACCGCGATTGATTTTCTTCAAGTTCTCTCACGCCACTTTTCCGGCTAATCCGTAAAACAAAAACTACCCGGAAAGAACCAAGTGCAACAAATGTCGTGGCGAGACGCGTTTTCGCACGAAGAGGAAAAGGTTCGTTTTCTCGCAAATTCGGCCATTCCGTCGCGAGTGGCAGATCGTCCAGAGCGGGCCTGACATCGCGAATGGAAGGAAGATTCCTTCGAGACGCACGCGCGGCTTTCGCACACGCCCTGCAAAAAATTCAACCAAAAAACTTAGCCACACCAGTCCGTCTTATCGTTCGGCGGTAACTATTATAAATATAAACCGAAATCGTTTCCCGCCCACGAGTCCGAGTCTTCGTTGCCCTCTGCGGTGCTATTTCATGCGATTGAGCACCAGATCGACCAGAACAAGGAGAGCTTTTTGGTAGGGGCTCTTGACGAAGGATTGCAGAATTCTGGTGGCTTCCACACAATGCTTCTTCGCCATGAATTTCGTCTGCTCGAGACCGTTGGACTTGTGCACCAATTCGAATGCCTTCTCGACGTCCCCGGGCTCTTGGAAACGGCGCATGATCATCGCGTTCAGCTCCGGATACTGTAAAGAATCATCATAATCTCACTCGGACAGACATCGACGAGAGATTGCACAACTATCGGATGACATACGGCGGTGACATAAACCCGGTTTTTTCCACGCCTTCAAAACTATTCGCGTCTGGATTAATTCATCCTATACTTCCTCTCCCATCGTTCATCTCTCCTCGTACGCGCGATTCACCGTACACATCCTGCATACTAACCCGCTCGCAAGCGAAGAGCACCGGAGCTGTGGCCAGGCCGAGCTTGAGATCAGCGGCTGCGGGTTTGCCAATAGCTTCTGCCGAAGCCACGAAATCCAGTAAATCATCCACCAACTGGAAAGCCAAACCGACGTTTCTGCCGTATTGATAGGCCATCTCTATCAGGTGATCGTCGACCTCAGCCAGTAAGGCGACCTGTGGCATAAACCGATCGATCGCCAGCTCAATAATGACGCAAGGATGATGACTGATGAAGACCGCATGTTCTTTTGTGTACGTGTACGCAAAAAATGCATTCGCACGACGATATTTATACGGGAAAAAATCTCAATCGGTGTAACTGAACAGGGACCAGATAAAAACTCGGTGACGAGGAATGATATCCGCGACTGAGAACATCCTTGTGAACATTGAACAACAACTAAGAGCAAGTGGCTGAGTGGAAGCTTCCTCCTACGGAGATCTTTCTGCTCCTACAAGCGAGTTTTCACCTGGTACTCAGGCAACAGAAAATTCAGTTGCACCAACGGAATTCTTTCTTTTACGTGTAAGCTTACCGATTTAGTACAATTGGCCATCAGACTCCCCGTCTTCAGATAGGTCTTGCTGAAGTAATGAGCGAACCTCTCGTTTTCCGTCTCTTTCGAGCCGAGCTGCATGAATTCACCTTGCACCAAGTCGGTGATGATCTACGAAACGGAATTTGCATTATAGTCGCAGAAATACGCCGGTTGACACATGTTGCGACGTTCCGTCTATTCTATCTCACTTCGCGGGTATTTTAATTTCTTAGCTTTCGTGCTCTGTGTGGCTAAATGTGAAAAAGAGAGCACAAACCACAGAATAGTTGGCTTCATAAAAATGTTTACTACAACTTTACTACTTACCAGGTTGCAAGTGTCGCAACTTGGTAATCTTCAATGCTAAGCGTCCTCGTGATTTGCCCCGAATGAAGTTAAAACGAACGAAAAGTTAGAAACTAACTGAGACGAGGAACCCGACATTCATCCGCATCTTCGCGGGACTCGCTTAATTCGCGGGAAGACGTTCGAATAACTCTCAATTTGAACTACAAATGGTGACATTACGACATCTGATTAATCTAAGAATGGAAGAGAGAGCATTCGGTATATTTTATCCGTCTATATTACATCGATTAACATAAAAAAGTTATTAGTATAAATTCGATGTATAATGTAAGAAAGAATCGTGCGTCTTATTCTCTAACGTCTCTAATGTCGCAATTTAGCAGCGAGCTACAATAGCGAAAAAAGCACGAACCTTGAGAGTGTGCAATCTAATTAATATACCTGATTCATAGTGATAGTCACGTCGTCGTTTTGAATTCTGGCGAGTATCATGCAGGCGACCGCCAAGATAAAATCTCCCGCTACTGCGACCTGTGAACATAAACTTTCGATATCAGGAGAACGATCGCATATTTTCGAATAAAATGTCAATATTAACATTATTGATGTTAATATTAATTAATATTAATTTTGCATCGTAAAAGTTCCCGAGGATATTCACACACACACACACACATGTAGTGTATTGCAGACTAATGAAAATATATGATTATATCATTATTATTTGTATCTTACGAGAAAAAGCACTGCATTCTTTGATTTTTCGCTCAGTTACAGAGATCTTGGAATTTGGCAAGCATTTCGAAATAATGTGTCAACTATATTGCTTAAATGATATTTCAACGATTGTTGAAAACGAAAGCTCGGAGGATCCCCAGGCCTTCAGACGCTTGCTAATCCTAAAACCTCCATGCGGCATTTACACAGCAGAAAGTCAACGAATTGTCCGAAACGGACAATCAACTTTTTTCTTCTGCGAGATACAGATACACGCACTTAACGCTTGCAAGACGACACCGTACGGTTTGCGTAGCGATCGAGGGATTAAGCGAAAGAATGAAGCGTGACGCAAAATAGCAATTTAACGTTCGCTTCGCACGCCTGCTCGTTACGTTGGGCATTAACGACGTTGCCGACGCGGTTCTTCGCGATTATAATCTGAGTTTCCTTTCACTGGGCATCCTTCAAATCGGAACTCTCCGAGCAGTTGTTACATTTGACCTGATATCGCGCGAGAGAGAATGCGCGCGATCAGCTCTCTTGCACAGAGAAAAATATTAAATGAATTAATGCAAATTAATGCGAAGTGAGTGAATGAGTCGGATATATTTCAGTTGAGAGAAACGGAATGTCGTATGAATCCAATTCTTAATCAATTTTTTGGAAATTTGTCGATAATATTGGATCGTCAAACTCATTGCCGACTTATTTTATAATGATCACTATATTCGAGGTAATAAGAAGATGACAGACTGCTTCGTCGACTCTGTTGGGTCGGTATATACTGCTGAGTCAATAATTGTACACTTCACTTTCCGTTACAGTCATGATATTGCAGTCTTACATATTGAGATTAATTTATCCGAGATTATCTTCGAATCTTGCAAGTCTTTAAATCCCAATAATAGTTCTGACATTAATAGCATCGGTCCAAAATCTTTTAAGTCCTGCCTTTATCCTTTCCTCCGTTCTTTAAATAATCTTCAATGAATTATTAAAACATGATAACCAATCTTTTTCTTCTCCGTTTTCTTTCGATAATAATTACTTCGACTCTTATCACGTTTATTAACTCAATCTAAATTAAATCAGCCCAACGGCTCGAATTAATTAAACTTCGAGAGAAAAAACTGATATTGAGGCTGATATGAAAGTAAGAACGTAACGCTTTATGGAAAGCGATCGAGATCAAAGTCGAACGACGCAACAATGCTAGAAACTTTAATGTCATGATGAAACGGACAACCACGGGGCGAGCGGGACTCATTAAATGGACCGCAGACTCAGTTTCGGTACACCGGCCTGCGGTCGGCCGAGACCCGTAGCAAAATTACTGATGAACACATTGTTCGACGCGAGGCGACGCGACGCGTCGTCGCGTCGAAACCGCAACGGCTCTTAATGACCGCGGCAGCGCTTATTGTGCCGCCGATTTCTACATTTCCTCGTCCTACGTCGAATTTTAAAATAAAGAGATACACGTCGTCCCGCTTTCTATCTCTTTTCCTCTCCTATTTTTTTTTCTTTTCGCGACTAGGCTCGCGCGAGATCCAGCGCGCGGTAAGTGTCTGTAAAAGTATCTCCGACTTTCTGCACGCCATTTAAAGCAGGTGGCGAATTCCGGTTGAGTTTCCCTTAAAGTTTCTTTAAATTTCCCCTTCTTTAAAGTTCCTTTAAAAAACGGCATTTCGTTGATTGAGGATGGGAAAAGTCGTAGGTACGTTGCTCTGGCACTTGATTTATCGGTGTCAACTGTGTAACGTGCTTACGCTAAATAATTAGAGACTAATTCCTTCCAGCGAATCTGGTCCAGGTCGTCCAAGCATTACCAACGAAATCGATGGATTCATTGTTTTAAATTCTTTGAGAGAACGTCATCGAATAGCTGTTCAAATTCGATACACTTTAAGAGATGTCCACAATATTGACGTTTCCGTTAACACTTCGAAGGATATTGACGAAAAACGATCTTCATGCGCACAGACCAGCAGCTATGCCTTCGCTTACGCGTCGCCGTTGCGTAACTCGGCTCAATTTTGCAGTCAAACTTAGAAGTTGGACGATTATTGACGAAGTTTTCGTCATTTGAAATTTGTGGATTTTTTTCCACATTTTTAATATACCGCTTTTTTGGGGATTGTGTGTACATTGTACAAATGATATTTTATTGTTTTCACATTCAACATCTTTATAAATAGTTCATAAAATTATTCCTATTTCAGTTATTAAAATCGTCATCCATATATGGATAACATGGCAGTCTATATGTTAGAATACACGGCATTTCAGTTGAATTTCCTTTGAAGTTCTTCTAAAGAGACACTACTCCGTATTGTTCTCAAAGAGACACATTTTTTCTTTCTCTCATTCTTTAAACATCAATAAAAACATCCCCGACTTATCGTAAACTTCACTTAAGATACACAGCATTCCGGATGAAAATTTCCTTTAATATTCGTTTAAAGTTCCTTTAAAAAGACTTCACTCGACGTTATTTTCAAAGAGGCTCTTTTCCTTCAAACTCTTACTCGACGCGAAACATCGTAGCTTATACCGACGGGATTTATCATCATTGTGTGATGCGTATGATGCGTGAAGTTCCGCGTGCGATTAACTGAAGTATAAGATTAACTACGTTAAAGAATTTCTTGGATGTATCAGAAATAACGGGATGATGTATGCGCATCATACTCCGACAATAGCCAACATATCCGGGTGGCTCGAGAGATTCGAGACTTTCGAAAGACCTTCGATGCTGCATTCACGACTGTCAAGACCTTCGAAGCATCCGGGACACCTCCGGAAGTTCTGCGTACGAATAATACTCGAAACGATTCGACGCTTTCGCGCGCCACGAACGATTCGACGCGTGTCAGATACCCGTCCTCGCTTCCGGATCGTCTTCGTGGACAATACTTCGGTTAACGGAGGATCGTTTCGACGCGACAACAGCGAAGGCGAGTCGCGGCTAACGCGGCTCGTAACTTGGGAGTTTCACATCCGGCATCATCGATGCCTCGCCTTATTTTCACACACCGCGACCGAAAAGACACTTGCTAAGAAGCAGAAGGGTCTCTCTCCGCGAAAAATAGCGCACAGTTTCATGCACCGGCGATACTTTATCGCGATTACACAGGTGTCGCGCGTGCGACGTTGCTCATTAAAAAAGGCAAAAAAAAGACGCGATTCAACAGCAAGAACGGATTCAGAAATTACATACCGTCACTTTCGTACGCGGCCGAGTGAAGCACAATATGTTGACAGCCGTTTTCATTTTAAGAAACGATAAGAAACTTAATTAAAAACTTAATTAGAGCTGAATTGAAAGCTTAATTAAAGTTCAATTAAGACTGCGCGAAATAAGCTTAATTAAAACTGATTGCGCAAAATCTTAACTGAAAGGATGATAAGTAAAATGGACCGATTTCTATGTAAAAAGTGTAACGTGATCTTACATTTTTTGGGTCGTTAAATACGATATTATTAAGATGATGTTGAAATTCATCACTAGCTATTTTAATATCCTTAAAACTGCATAATGTATGCAGGCGCACATCTGATAAGATTTAAGATTCTTTGAATAAAAAATTTATTATCTTTTTTAATTTTTATATTATATCGATTTCGCCGATATTAAATTTAACATTTCTGAAATTCGTCTTGAAGTGTTTCCTTAATGTTGCAGCAAAAAAATTTGTAAGACTAAACTATAATACAAATAATTCAGACAAATATATGGCAAAGATACGGCAAAGAAATGTGATTCAAGATACCGTGTATTCTTTACCTCGTTTCACATCGGCTTTCCATCGGTCGTGCAACCGACCTTTCAGATGCAATTAATTACATTTCACGCGCAACTTAATGAGACGCGGTAGTGTCATAATGTGTCGAGTGATCGCCACGGCATTCCGCAACGGTGTTGAGCACATTATTCGCGTTAAAACAGAATTTGCTATCGAACGCTGAAGAAGAATTTGCCGGTCGTCCCTCTCGCGGCCTGACGCCCCCTCGCACGCGTGTACACACGAACGAGAGTTCTCTCTATTAGCGGTACGTTAACGCGACAGCCGACCTATATTGCGTTACACAATTCGCTCGTTCGTACCGTGCGGGTGTGTGTTTGTACACATAGTCTTACGCAGTGGATGCACCTCGGTAGGCAATATCGGAACTTTCGTGACTACCGTTGGGCTTTCCATTTCATCGGAAGGCGCTAATTCCGATGCTCTCAAGGTTGTCACACTTTTCAACCCGCCCCGTAACGCTCGCGCTCGTCGAGGAGTCCGTTACGCAATTTGCAACGCAACGTCGTCGGCGGCTAATTGGTAATCTTCATTTCTCCCGTTCCATCTACATCGTCGGTCTTCATTCCACTCGTCTAGCCGAGGGCCCATTGTGGCAGCCATTCCGCTTAAAACCTCGCCGCTTCGGAAATTAGGGCGTCGCTTCTCCAAACGCTTAGATCACCTGGCGACACGGATATTCGAGGTGCCGTGTACCGCGTTGAGTCACGAATGACACGTCCGTTTCTTTTCTTCTTCTTTAGAAGAATTTTTTCATACGTGAGAGTTTTTACAATACAGTCTGATCTAATATTTATTCGTCGTTACGAATAATAATGACTCGTGTGTTTCCTAGAAGGCGGCATTTTTTTCTTAAGTGAGCGTTCAGAAAAGACAAATGTTTTCTCTTACTTTCTTTTGCCGTGTTTCTGCATTTCAATTACAAAACAATCGACGACACTCTCTGTGAGAGTTCAGAAAAGATAAATGTCTACTATCACTTTTTTCATTGCGTTTTGCTTTTGCTTACTAATTAAAAAAATAGGGACGGCGAACGGAAGGATCCCGTTCGGGAAAACTCTCGGAATGTTTTCACGGTAGCGCCGACGACTCCGATCTTTCGTCACTCCAGCATTTTATTCCGACTTTCGACAATATAGCTATTCATTCATCATGAAGGATGTCACGTTATATTCGAGATCCTTGACATTGTTCTTACGTAATCGGAGTCTACATCTTGTCGCGTCCTTTACGGCAACTTTTATTTACATTCCATGCGAGATATCTAAGAAAGACACATTGAGGATTCATTTCCTGACAAGAAAGAGAGAGAGAAAAAGCCAGGCTCGGTCTGCCTTGGCTTGGTTGCCGCAGGCTGGTATTGTGTTTCGTAACAAAACGGCACATTATCGCACGACACGTATCGAGATAGCCACGTTGTATCCGCACGCGGTTCAGAGACACTAAAGCGACAAATTCTGTTGTAGAGACACAATGTCGCGAGGAAAGCGTAGATACGTAAAGCGGGAAAGCAGCGGATAAGCGATCTCAGTAACTACCGATTATCGTTTACACGCTTGAGTCGCCGTTTTGCCTAAATGTACACCTCGCGAATATGTGTTTCGCCACTATATTTGCACGTACCAATAAAAGTGGCTTAATTCGCGAACGTTCAGCACACGATTATTCACGGTGAAGAACCACAACCGGTCACTCATAGATTCCTCTCCTCTATTACGAACATCGAGCAATTTTGAACGACCAGTTGCACAGGCGAAAAAGTGAGTTTCTTAAATATTACGGAGAAACTCGACAGTTTTTCCACACAATGTTTTGTTCGTCGCGTTCGTTACCAGCGTCACGCGTGTGTGACGCACATTGAGAAACCCGTTTAGTTGAATCAACTAAATTCTTGTTTGATACATGCGTCGACGACGAAACGCAATTCAATCGCTGCAATCGCGATGCTTAACGACCGCGGCTGCGACGGCGATCGAAAACTAATTAATAGACATTAGAACGGCTCGCACGACCGATTCGTATGCAAAACTGCGGACGATATAAATCGTGAGCCATTCCGTAACCGCGAGAATATGCGTACATTGTTGCGAGCGATGTAACAATGGATTTAAAAGCACATCGAGTGAAAATTTTGAAAATCCCCGGAGCAGCGTAGCATCGTACACGGAAGAAACGATTTCGACAGTGCGACTGAATTTTCCGCTGACTGGGAAGAGCAAACATCGGGAAACTCGATCGCAGGAGGATTTCTGCGGGAGACTTTTGCCCAATCAATCGCACCCAGTTATGTCAACTGTGCTCAAATGCTCAGACAAATATTTTCGATAACAGAGACATCGTTTCTCGTCACCAAATTTCCATCTGACCCTCATTCAATTACACGTACCCGAGATTTTCTTCTATGCACACAAGAAAAATCATTCCGTCGGTGCAATGGAATTTTTCGTTGCCCAGGAAGATCAGACGAAAAATGGGTTTTTGCTCGGTTATTTGCTCTTAATTATCGAGTTTTAATGAACGCAACTGAATATTCAGACGAATGTTTTCGGATGCGATAACAGACATTATTTCTTATCATTGAATCTTTATTTAATCCACCTTCAGCTGCACACATTTAAATGTTTTTCGATGAATATTCCTCCCTTCTCCTCAAAAGTCTCCAAGATCTCGGATATTTCGAGTTTAAAAAATGTACCGAGGTTTTTGAAGATCTTGCAGACTTAAAACATTTCATAAAACAATCGTTATAGATGCAATCGTTAATTGTACATCAATTGTCAAATATTTTGGAGGGGATGGACTTTCGAAGAACAAAAATGAAAGAGTGCACAATGGCAAAAAAAAAATATTGTAAGATATGTAGTAAATTAATTAACAGTAATATGCTCCAGCTGTGCGTTTGACAGTTGGCTTTTTCCATCGCGTCACATGTCATCCAGCATCGCGTTCCAACTGTCGATTTCTAATATATGTAATTTCAGCAAGAGAGCCGACTAGTTCGCGAGTAGCCTCCACTTTCGAAAGAGTTTCATACCGTTCTCACATTTTACGATCGCGCGTCGATTTGCGGAATGATCGCTCATATTCTTCGATTTTTCTTCGATTAAGAACGGAAAGTGTTGAGACAAGTTTGCACAAAACATTGTCACAGACGTAGCGAATCACTTTTCATCTGCGCGCATTCTCTCGCTCATTTGAAATATAAAGTTCTGCCCAGCGACAAACCAACCCAACGAAGCCAATTGTCGTTTTTATTTATTAAAAATGATTTGAGGTCTAACAAAGACAATTTTACATCTTCGGATTTTTGTTTCTTGAAAATCTTTCCTTTTTCTCATGTTTATTCATTATTCACTCTTATGACAATAGTAAATAAATTAGTTAACTTTAACGTTCCTGTTAAAAACTATTGAAAGCTGTTAAAAACAAAATCTGGAATTAAAATTCATATGGAAAAATAAGTGATTCATTTCTACAGATTTATTCCATTCTTTCGTCACGCAAATGTCATTACGTTCCGTGATATACATAAACATAAGATTTTTTAAAACAGTTAACAGTTAAAAAACCCTGTTTACATTCATTAATGCCTTATCAAATTTAATGTTTGCAGCTATTCGCGCGAACATATATACACGCGCGACCGAATTAAAAAAAAAAAAATCAGATCGCGCTACCGGTTTCAAATCAAGAAAGCATGCACGGTCAACGCTCGGCCATGAATCGCATTAGCCTCCTTCCTCCTCCACTATTTTAGAGAGAGAGTTTGAGTTTCCATCGTCGCCATTACCAGCCACCGTGCACGGTGGTCACTTTCGATCAAAATTTTAGTAAACGTTCGACGCGAGCGTAAACACGAGCGAATAACGCCAGAGCATCATAGTCGGTTATATTACGTTGGGAAGGAAAAGAAAAAAGAGGAAAAAAGGAAACCCTCCCTCCCTCCCTCTCTCTCACCCCCGCCCAACTGACCTTCTTTTGGCTCCAAACGATGTTCACCGATGGTTTGCCTCGGCGGAAATTCGATTGATCGATCACGTCGTCGTGCAACAAGGAAGCGACGTGCACCATCTCGGAGATCATCGCTATTCGCTGCTGCGAATACGAGAGGACACTGAAAGCAGAAGAGATCTTTTCGTTGTCAAATCGAAAAATGACAAACGATAATGTATTAATCTGTTGTGGACTGTGTCGACCGATATACGCGTCGGAAATCGTACACGGAAAAAAATGCTGTTGTGATCGATAGAATTGATCAACAGCGTCACATAATTGCAGTGAATTCTTGAATACCGAATTTTGTTATCGAATTCATGCTCGAGTTATTGAAATAATCTACGATATAATATTGCTGTTGTGTCAAGATCCATTTATTTTATATAATAAGATTGGTTCTAATCACAGCGCTTTCGATCGATTTTTTATCGTTATGTTTCATGCAATTCTGTTGACGTTATCTACTCTATATGTATATTCTATTCTATAATATTTATAACAGTATATTTATTATTATAGCATATTTATAACAGTATTTTTTCCGCGAAAATATCAGCGAAATTTGACACACGCATAGTCAGTGACAAGAAGATGACAACATTTTTCTCAACATATCAATATCCGATAAGAGAATACATTCTTCTTAAGTAATTCATTTTTGTTATCTTTTCTTAACCCATTTGCATCATGACTCTATTTAAGTTTCTGTGTTCAGACATCAGCGGCGTTCAACTGACGGCCCGTATCACCGCGCGCGGCCATATATCGACAATTTTATTATTTTCGTTAACTTCTACAGTATACTCGTTTTACAGTACACAGTAAACTTCTACAGTAAATGACTTCCTGAAATAGTTCGTAGAGTTTATTTAACATGGTTTATTTAAGAATGCAATGAAAATAGCTCAGATGCTCACAGATTGACAACAAAACGTGAACTGTGTCATATGCGAAATATTCCGCGAGCGGTGATAAAAGAAAGTCGCGGCTCGCGGAATATTCCGCGCTCGGTGATAGGAGACGATCGTCACGCGCAGAATATTCCGCTTCAAGTAATTTTGAGAAGATGAATTTTCCAATTATGGCGCCGCTGAACAATTCTATCGAAACACAAGAGCATTTATTTCTGTGTAAGAAGAGTCCGTTGTGTATAATTTGCATTCGGTTGTTTTCGATTTCGCAACCGCATGCTTGCAGGGAAAGTTATTCGAAGTTGAAGTTTTCCGAGGCGAAATTTGCCGGATCCCGCTGTGCGCCTACGTGCACGCCGTAGTTCTCATTCACGCGGCATCCCATTCATACTCGTAGTAAGCTCACCCACGACGACGCGGCTCGCCACTTTCGTTAGAGATCCACTCGCTTCTGGCGTACCACTTCGTCGACACTTTTAATGCTTTCTAAACGCCGTGAACGTACGTTTTCTCACGCTCGCGCGCAGATTCATCGCTCGCGTTGCCGAGAGCTCGCGTTAACAAGACTCCTCTCCACACGCAAAGGTCTTAATAATCGTAAATTTTCCCACACGATCGACACGCTGCACCACGAGCGGTCGCGATTTCATATCGAAAACCACTAGTGGTAAAGTCGAAAGTTTAAGGATGTGATACCTCCTCCAGAGCTTCGACTCGCGCTGGAGGCAATGGAATTCTCGTTGGCCGCGCGAATAGGAGTGAGGAACGAACAAAAAAAAAAAAAAAAGGCAAACGGAGAGACAACGTCCAGTATGAAAATGCAATTACTTTCATATCTATTGCTCGCTCGACGTTTTCTCTAATTGCACAACGTATCGTCGAACGGGATTATCCAATCGATACCTTTTTTCCGGACACGTTCTTCGAGCGGAAGTAGCGCCAGTCGGTGTTGAGATGTTCATTTTAAAGAATTACATATCAAGCAGCGCGGTTCCGCGCGTTTTGCGCCAATTAGAATCCCGTAATGCGAGGCGTATATGATTTACAATATCACCGACACACAACGCATTCCGCGCCGTGGTCAGTCAAAGACTTGTTTCTTTCCCTTTGCAAAAAATTCTATCTAATTATTCTGCGACTTTCTAACGCAAATAGTTGCATTTTTATATTTTCTCGGCGGGAATCCCGCGGTTTCGGCTTCGCGCGTTCCGCGACGCACAGTGGACCGGATAGGCATTCCAAGTAGAAATAAATCATATCAAGAAACAGATATCTATGTCTGCCCTGTGCATTCAGTGTATTTAATTAATAATAAAGTAATAATGAGATTAATTGGATAAATAATTAGACTTAATTAGACTTTAATTCGACTAATTAATATCATTATTATAAGAATGAAAACAAATGCAACAATGTAAATTAACATAAGCCCAATTAACATTCATGGTTAGTATCGATTATCGATCTGTTTTCTTTTTAGCTGAACTGGCTGCACTAGTTCAAAACATTTACATACACGTTGAATATACGTACATGCAAGATTTTTACGTTTCGATATGCGTAAATTCCTTGAACTAATATAACCAGTTGAGCTCAGAGAAATAAATTATATGTCTACTATGAAAAGTGCTCTTATTTTAAAAATTATTTTTTATTGAATTGATAATAATGGAGTATAAGGTTTTTGAAATATACCTCACAGAGCTTTGTGAATGAATTTCAAATTTTTGTTTAAGAGAAAATACTTAATGAGTTATGTGAATTATAAATACCAGCCATGCTTATCTTAACGACTTGTCTTTCCAGAAATGCATGTTTCTTGTCGCAATATTTTACTTAAATGTGATATCAAGAAAATGAAACGATCTAATGTGATTTAATCCCTAAAATGTCCATCTAGTCCACTATGCGGCGTTGCGCTCTCGAAATTCTCAGTCGTTTTCTCGCTCGTATGAAAAATGCGCGCGAGGTCGTTGTTTCAAAACATCGCGTTGTTGATCTAACATTTCTCGCTTGCTTAGAATGGAAACACGTAAATCCACTTACTCGCTTCCCTTGTGATAATTGATAGCTCGTGCCATCAGTATGGACAACATGGGTCGCAACGCCTTCCCTTGGCCGTCCATATAGTATACAACTAAGGGATGTAAATCTTTCTGTGTCGTCGCATTGATGAGTTCCTGAAATCATAATGACACACGTATCCTTGAATACGCGTCAACAAGAGGACTTTTAGGGTGGTATTCATAATCCGATCTTATATTTAATATCGTCTTAAGTACACGAAGGAAATATTGTGGTAAAAATTACCACGAAATTTTGTAATGTTGGACTGGGATTATGACTGAAATTATTACGTGTGTCTTTAGTGATGTGCACAATGAAGTATATCACTGAAAATGACAACACACATCATAATTTCAGTTATAATTCCAGTATGGTCAAACACTACAAAATTTTGTGGTGATTTTTACTACAATATTATCTCCGTGTACATCGTAATGTTTGAACGATCACGAGAAAATTCGTGTCTCGTTGACTGAACGTTGTCGACCGATCTGCAAGTTATCCTGTATTTGGACGGTTTAGAAAAAAAGTAGCCGGGACGAGGAATTGAAGAATGTTGAAAACGGTCAACAATGTGTTAACGTAAGCTTGTATAAAAAAAACAACCGATAAAAAATAATAAATGCATTTGTTGATATTTGAAATAGCAATATATTAAGATTCTGCAAAAGTAAAAGAAATGGTAATTTGAAGCAAGGATAAATGAAGATAAAGATAAATTTAAAATGATTTCAAACTGTGGGCGATCGTTGTAGTTGTCAATACTTTTAGTTTTAGGTTGAAGGTTTTAAAATCACATATGATTTGTCAAGAAAAAAGCGAAATTGTTCAAACAAGATTTCGCAGAATGATTTGCAAATGTAATTTCCCAGGTAAGTACTCTTTTAATTAGCATTCCGTCAAGAAGTAACGAACTGTCAATTAGCACTCGCCCGGAATTGGCTATTGATTAAGAAAATATAATTTCGTCGTTTCGAGTTTCGGAAGAGTGAGTGCGTCACCGAAGGAGAAATCTGCGCCCTATCATTCGAAATATGCGTCTCACATTAGCGACCACTCTCGTTTTCCCAGACATTTTCGGGGATTTCTCCGTCGTACGCAGCGACGTCGTCCAAAACGAGCGCGTAACCAAAAGAGAAATCTGTAGCTTTCGTCCTTTCGAGAACACCGGAACCCGTCCGGCGATCACGCGGGATTAAATATGCGCCGGACAAAACTGCTTTCGTTGCAATAGAGACGAGAAGAGACGTCGTCGACACCGGTAGACCAGGTGCTTCGAATTCCAAACGTCGCATCGCGGCTGAAAGTTCCTTTTGGAATTTGTCCAGACTAGCACATTAAGTTTCGACGGATGGCCATGACAAGTCGCATAGCGGCACGGAATCCTTGGCTGATCTAACACATTAAATATCGAAAATCGAATCTTTAATTAATTAGCGGATATTAGATATTAGAATCTGATATTAGAATCCGGATATTAGAATCTGAAAGTTGAAGTAAAGAAGGTTAAAGCGAAAACTTTCTGTAATATAAAGAGACAGATTTTTGTATTAGACGATTCTTCCCATTTTCGTATTATATGATTCTTTCCATTTGTTTTTATTTCGCAAAAGGAAACGAAAAAAAAATCAGTAAATGACGAATCGTTATCTCTTCGGGCGAACTTTGACGGCTGTATTTATTTTGGAAAAATTTCCTTAAACGGTATCTAAAAAGAATGAACATTCTTGTACATTGAGAAAAAAATATTTGATATTTGTAACTATAATCGTCATAATGAAAGAATTATAGTCAGGAGAATCATTTTTCTAGCGAGCGTTACTATAATAACTTGACATGCATATTGCTACTATTACTTTTGTGGTTAAAACTATAAAAGAAGAGATTAGTTTTTAAACTAGTTTTAAAATTCGTTTTTAAATTAGTTTTTAAATATTTGTCAAATTTTGGTAATCGTTACCAAATCAGTCTTTTTTCAGTGCACCGTAATTACTCGAACAGTCGTTTGTCTAAAAACTCGAACGTTTCCACTCTGCGAACTGTAAGACACGAGAGCTTACGTCAGTGTCGCTTTTCGCGCGTTTTCCGTCACTTACGCGGCAGGAAGTCAGACAGGTGAGCCTGCGGAAGGATGAGGAGAAGGAGGTCCGATATCGTTCAATTATCGATGCAGCGCTTGCGATACTAATGGTCGATTTCTCTAACTTTCCTCAAATCAGATAACGTCCGTCGGAGTCATGATGGCTCGTTAAATACGATTTCTATTGTTTCGCCAACAACCGCTAACGCGGCCAATCTACGACGACACCGACAAAAAGTGTCGCGTTTTGGGACATTTCCAGTTACCATCTTTTCTTTCACACTGATCTGTCTAATATTCCATCAAACAGAATAGGTCATTTCACCAATTTCTATACAACCAGATAGAATCGGTCACGTGATACAAATTCTCGTTAAAGAAATGCACTTTCAATTCTAAAACGTTTTCATGTATTGTTTCTACAACACAAAATTATATTTCGGTCGACACTGATGTGATGGAAAAAAACATAGCAAAGTTTTTATTCGCTGCAATATTTATGATCATCTCTACAGCGTCGATTAGCAAAATCTAAATCGTAATGAGGAGGCAATAGCGAATTATTTTCGTCCCTCCAGTCTGGACAAATTTCACACTGTGCGTCATACGCGAACGGCGGCCATAGGTAAAAGTTCTCCTCTCGACCATATGCAGACTGTGAAGTCGGGCTGCTTTCGCTCGCGGGCGAAGCGTCTTAAGTGATGGACGTCGCGTGAAAACTGCACGGTTTTTCATCAATATTTATAAACCGCGCTTACCAACGGACCGTCGCCGTCGGGAGAAACAGTACGTTGAATAACGCCCCCTGATCTAAGTATCCTTCACCGATGGTTACGAGGATTACGAGCAGCGGTATGCGAATATTACCACGCAGACTTGCGAGTCTTATTCTTTCGTAATAGCCAGCTAAAAATAGCGAATGAAATTCGAAGATTCGTCTGTGAACAAATTCTCATATTCGAAGAGAAATTTATTCGTTAGCGACAAAGTAATTTTTTTCATTTTCACGTATAAATTCACATTTGTGTCAGAAATTCTAAAGAAATAAAATTTTATTCTTTATTTGTTACATATGTAACAATTTTTCATAAACATTGTATTTTTATAAATGTCCAGGATGAAAATAAAAATAGACTTGTTATCGACAATCGAATTCAACTTCGCGAGTACAAATTCATTCGTTATCGATAAATATACTTCCAGACATATTAGGTTGATGCAAAAGTTCTGTTTTTTAGTTAAATTATATAGAACATGTAAATAATATGTAAATAATAAAATGTAAATATATATCATATTTAATATTTATAACATATTTTTTCATATTTATAATATATTTCATTGATTATATCTTTTGTCGCAAATAAATGTGATACATATTTACATTTTATTATTTACATATTATTTACATATTCTATACATTTTAACTAAGAAACAGAACTTTTGTATATGTCGTTTTTCATGCGATGTCATTAATCCAGCAGTTGCATAATCCCGCATTCTTAGAAATTCTAGCATTTCTGAGCAAAGAATTAAAAAACGGAACTAACTTTTGTGTATCAATCCAAATATATCTTTTCATCAAAAATACATCTTGTGATTTCGTTCACCATTCTCGACTCGTTATTCGCGATTGAATTTGACGAACTCCGCTAATTACTCCGTGAATTAATCCGTTGCAAGGTAAAACAGGCAGGAAATCAGAGAGCAAGCTTATTATGCGAAATCAAAGATGCTCGATTACGCATGCTGCTGTAATCATATTTTCCCGATATACGCATTGTTACCGCACAACTAGACGCTCCGTCGCCCTGCCAGGATTTCGCAATGCCGGCGCCCGCGTAATATCGACGAAGTAAAATTACATAAATGTCTGATAGACGATAGTGCTCTTACTTCCCGAAAGTTTCTCGTGGCTACGATCGATAGAGATACACAAATGGAGATCAATAGCCTGCGGCTTTGTTTTATATAATTAATTTACGCCGTGTGCGCTCTCTGCGAAAGCGACCTCACATCGGCGCGGATTGTTACACTTGTTCGAATTGGCTGAAATCTCGCACGCCGAAATGAAACAATTTTAATCCGTCGTGTAGTTACATAAGCGTCCTGCTACGCGGATAAAATGAGACGTGTTATAATTGTTGCTCGTAATATCTCCAAGTTTCACCACTTGATTAGATCTTTCCATTCGCAAATATGAAAATCGCATTAAAAGACGAAATTAAACACTCATTTTTAGTACGAAGGTGTGCTTAACAAAACATGTGAACGATTAGAGTATTAAATTAATTATAATTATAATCATGCATTATTACACTGATCATACACACAACAAGATTTCGGTAACATTGGTAAAACCTACATTTTGTGCTTCTTTGTTGATTCTATTTTTCATGTCTAATATTCAAAAAGTAAAGCGAGAAAGAGTCCCGATGTGAGAAAAAATACTCGAAACTCATTACGCGATGTAAAAGTTATATAAAAAGGAAAACTTTTAAACTCATCTCGCGATGTGAAAAGTGAAGGAAAATAAAGCTAGATATTTTTATTAAAAACGACGTCTTGATAAATATTTCAATGACGAGAAAGTTGTACATGTTACAACATTTTTATTGACATCTTTGTATTCAGTGTGCAAAAACGATTGAGAACCATTTTATTTTGTTTATGTTATCAAGCAAAATTTTCATTTGTCAATTAGTGTTACCAAGTGCAGACTCGTTCGTCGAGAAACAAAACTGCTGCCGCTCTTTGAAATGTATTTACGGTATACAAAACGATTTTGTCAGGCGGAATTCAAGCAAAAATGTTTACCTTTCGTATGTTTTCGAATAAGTCCTTAAGGTCGTCCTCGATAACCCTGTAAGGATCGATTTGGTAATCGGACCGAGAGCCGGGCATCTGCGTTTGCATAGTGCTCGTCGCTCTCGCGAGGCCTATCCTGCAGTCTGGTGTGTTCGCTTTGCTCTGCAAATGAGAAAAATCAAAGTTCTGTAAATATTGGCGATAAACTTTGTGCACAATTACGATTAATTTCCTAACGTCGCTTTACCGGGCGAATACCTTTCTGTGCGCGCACGAGTCTCGTAAAGTGTGACCTCGTGGTCCTCGTGATCATCAAAATATTACGATCGGCAGTTTATCATTCATTATCACTAACAAGCAAATATGTAAATATCGTTGCACATTAAAATCATTCAAATCATTAAAGTGAAGAAAACAGCTTTGACAAGCGGATAAAAGGCAAAAGTAATGTATCAACATCACTACACATCGGGTTCGACGTAATGTGCGGCTTTACTACTGCGGCCGGTCTGACCTTGTTCGAGCGACTACTACTTAACGCGAGCTCTTGCAACACGTTCGGTGCGTCGTGACTCTTGTTACTCGAAGAAAACAATGCGTTAAATCAACATTTCTGAGTACAAGCCCAGTAAATGGCCACCGATTAGCATTCCAAGCTGATAATGCGTTTTGTATGTCCTGAATATGCCTCGAGAGGAAAAGAGAAAGAGAACAATACTCGATCTCGGGCGCATGAGACCGTGGAACACGCGATCGACACATCTTTCCCCTCTTCCTCTTCTGCTTTTTAATACGTTTCAAGGCGATCTCCGCGTTCGGAAAACGCGCCGCTGACAGCAATTAAACACTGTTGACGGAACCTATTTTCCCCTACAGCTATTTTCGCGACCACGAGACACAAGTGTGTGCTGACCGGCATCTCGCGTTTTCCCCAGTGACTCCTCGCTCATGAGACGAAGATACGACTGCATTCTTTCGCTCGGTACACACAATGATGTCCCCTTTCGTCATCGCGATCGATGCATCGCGATTTCTTGCCACTCGACGCGTTCATCGACTTCGGCTTGACGAGGTGCAGGATATTGAGAGAGAAAGGATCGGAGACTCTAACGACGCGCTATATTCGTAAAGACAGGCAAAGAATGCCCGCTCGGCAAATCGAAAAGACCGATATTTTCATCGATTGAAAGTGAATTTTTGATTTCAATAATCGGTAACTTATTTGCATTTCTACTTGCATTTTCTGGGCAAGTGCAATTTACTTTGTAAAAATCGATTCTTCATTTTGCGTAGGAGAGTATATGGAGAAAATATTAGTAGTAAAAATTGACACGAAATTATCTAGTGTCGAACCATACCGGAATTATAATTGAAATTATTACTTTGATACTTACGGCATGTAGTTGTACAAACAAATAGTTTGATAACGTGTGCGCTGTTTTTCTTTCCGCTCCGGTTAGGAAAGGAATAATAAGAAAGAAAGAATATTTTCAAAGTGTTTACGCGTCGGATTCGCAAGGTTGCCGATTATGAAAAACATTTCGCAAAAGGCCTTTTTAACAATCTAACTTTTCTAAATTTAAAGATACAATAACATTTTAGTGATGCAAATTTTCGCGAGATTATTCCAAACAGCTCTTTAGATGTGAAAAACAACAAAACAACCAAAATTTTCTGAATTGACACGATAAACATATTTCGCAAGAGGTCTAATCTTTTTAATATTTATCTAATCTAATCTTTCTAAATCTAACGATACATTTTAGTGATGCAAATTTTCGCGAGATTATTCCAAATAGTTCTTTAGATATGGAAAACAAGTTTTTTTTTCCCAAATATACGTACTCCAATAAAACATATTCGAATAAAACTAGTTTAAAGCGGACGGTAACGCGCGTAAATATTTATGTATACAGAATATTTTCGTTTCCCGAAGGCGATGGGAGAAATTTTCACGTTTTGCAACGATTCATTTACCAACTAACTAATCGAGGCCACAACAGACAAATAACAGTGTATTACTCGCGGTTCGTGTAATATAATACATACATGCATTAACGCACCGATCGACGGCGATCGGCAACCTTGCGAATCCGACACGTAAACGCTTTGAAAGTAATTAACTAAACTACACTGCTCTGATTTTTCCGAGCGAGTGTGGGATATCGCAAATGGTGGGGGGCGTTCTTTTTTCTTCCTTTCTTTCCTAACCGGAGCCTTTCGTTTCCGCGGAAAAAAAAACAGCGCGCACGTTGCTTGTGCAACTACATATCGTAAATCAGATTCTAAAAAACTTTAAGCAGAATTTACCGGTCTCGCATTAAGGCACTTTATAGCTTTTTCGTTCGTTAGTGATATTTATGCCAACGCTCGGCAACGCGAAAGCACGTGAATATGAAATTGTAATTTGAGGTTGTTGATTTGTCAAGTTATTTTCTCAAATATCCTTCTAAATTTTTAGCCGCATATTAACAGAAATATTATCTACATGTTTATATAGTTATAAAACGATTGGCCATTCGGAAGCTGAGATATTCACAATTGAAGATGACTTTTTATACGTATTTCTTCAGGTTAATGTCCTATATTCAACTTCTATCTTAAATTTCTTGTAAACCACATTTAGGATTCTAATGAAAAACTATTGCGATACCAAGAACTAATATAGAGACCATACACAAAAATTTTAGAATTTTTACCATTTTGTTTTGAGTTAAACCAAGTTTTCTCAAAGTCACCACCGATCGGTCTAAACACTGATCTCACTGTTTAAATTTTCTAAACTCGACTATCTGGAGGTTAGAATTCCGGCAGAAACGGAGAATCGATTAAAAGATTATATTGTTGTCAGAAATTGCGCGGCTGAATATATTATGACTCTAATGTCTTCTTCAAAGCAACTGTGGGCGCATTGCTTGGGACGACATGCAACATTGAGCACTGACCGGCGTTTATGAATGCGTGTCGAACGATTTCCACGTGTGCCCATGTGTCCGCTCATTACAACCCTAGATATCGAATCGACGAGGCGAGGCAATAGGCAAGTTCACCGCATTCGACTTTTACTTCTCTCGCGATCTTATCTGAAAAGCCAAGACTAACGCTGAAGAAAATCGTGGGGTCGCTGAGACCGAGGGGGAGAGGAGAGAGAGAAGAGTCCGGTCACGCGCGAAATACTTCTCTCCTCCAACAACACTAACTACAACTAACGCTCTTTATTTCCATCGGAGACCACCTTGCGTGTGTGCCGCAATCGCGCGATCATTTATCCCATAACTGCGTCGGCATTTAACGCTGGCGTCACGGAAAAACTCGTCATCGAGAGAAGCTCGAGAGGAGAGAATGCTTATAGTGCGAACTGAACCTTTTGACGGAACGCAATAAGAAAGTGAATCTCGATGTGCTTTGTGAACGAGCAATTGAAAGATACATATTCAATTCGACGATAAATTAATCTCTGACGGACTGGCTTTGTTATTTGGTTAAATCAGCTGCCCAATCGCGGTATATGTGTACGATATCCCCTAAAAATTATTACTTACACACACACACAGTACTTCGTATTAAACAAGATGAGGCAATATATATTACCGCCTTAAGTATCTTTGAAAAATAAAAATATTTTGTTAACGATTAGATGTGTAAAGATGAAGAAGGTTTATATTTACGAAAGGTGTTCAAAGAGGCGACCATTGGTATCATGTAATTTCTGTTAGGGAAATTTTTCTTTTTCTTTCATATTCTGAAGATGGTCAAGGTGGTAACAGTTATCGCCTCATCCGTATATTACCGTGTATTATCTCGTGTTAACTTTATGTTATTTTATTCTACTGTATTTTTATCATAGAATTTATTGTTCTTTCTTATATTCTTATATCCTTTGGAAATTTGAAAAAGTTCGAGAAATTAGAAAAATGAATATAAGATAAAGAACTAATTAAACCGAACAAATTGCTGCTACTCCTAGAGGAAAGCAAGAAAACAAATGAAGAATATTGGACCTTAGGGCTGACAACCTTATGCCTACAAATCTATTATCGTGGAACCACATTTTCTGTCTTGGGTAAGAAAAATAAGAAAAACAACTATGATGGAAAGGATAATGCTGAATGCTTCCATCCACTGAGGACTATGACGCAGTAATAATGTGCAATAATAACAATAAGTTGCTGCTGTTGCTGCTACTACTACTGGATACGTTAGTTACATTTTATACGCTATCGATTTATACGGAAGATCGGGTTTAACGAATTGGCTGAATAATATGAAGATGAATGTGAAAGTGATCCGTCGTCTGCATCGGAAGTCGTCATCGATGACGCGATTTCCATTCATACGGGTCGCGCAAATTGCACAAGCAACATTTTGATTATCGCGCGAGCGATAATTATTGAATAATGCCTTCCGTTGATCTATCGCGATAGGAGAGTCGCGTTAACGTGGACGACAAACGAAGATGTACATCTGGACGTATACACCGATAGGTGGATCGCTATCATCAGGACGGTTATGAAAGTTGTCTGTCACGTGATGTCACGTAACAGTTAGCATAACTCCTTCAAGTGGAGAACCACGCCGATGACCGTAACTGGCATATAGCGAGACTTTTCTAAATCCTGCCCTTCTCGTGCGCACTCTCACCGGCAAATTAAGAACCCATCGACCAAGGATTACCTGGTTAAGATCGCTGCAATGAAATACAGGGTATATGAAAACCACACAGTGTCATTTCCACCGTAGATTCACCGTCCGAGATATGTACGGTTCTTCCTCGACGCGAAAGTGTCGCGGTTTTCGAGTAATTGGCCGATAATGAATGACGAATTTAGTTACATTATTTCAGTTTAATTTCCAAGCAAATACTGAGAGAGAAAAAGTGTCCAACGAAATAATTATAATAGAATAATATTAAAATTATAAAAAAATAATAGAATAATAATTAGAGCCGAATAGTTATAGTGAAATAATTATAGTTGGGAAAAGCCATTTTTTGTGGTACTAGTGTATTTTATCAATAATACATTTATAAAAAAGTATATTATATTATTATATAAAAATTTATAACTTCAAAACTTTCTATACAACCTCGGAACTTTAGAACCATGTATAACTTTACGTATACTACTACTTTTTGTAATAATACGTATACTATTACTTTTTGT